AGATCCATCTAACTGATCGTGACTTGGTCCCACTGGTTTACACTGCCACTGCTTTTTGTTTGCAATTCTCTTATTAAACACATTATATTAACCCTGACTTCTATTGTAGTAACTTACGATCTTATCTCCTTCATGGATAAGGATACTAGCCTATTTATTTCTCTACAGTATTTAATCTGTACAGTAATACTCAATAAGCATTTATCGGATTTGAAACAGTTACGCTTAACTTATAGAAGTAAGCAGAATATATTATCTATAATAGGTGCTCTGTCATAGGATGGCTATAAAGATTAAATAAGATAATGCATGTAAAGGGTTAATAACAAGTTACTAATTTATCATTATCAATAACAGCTAATATTTTTTGAATATTTACCATGTGTCCAGCATTGTACTAACCATTTATATGTGAATTCCCTAAAACACGGCCTAGTATGATAATCTTTCATCCCTTTTGCAGAGTGCATGAGATATATAGATGTTATTTAAATAGCTGATGAAGAAAAACGGGTCTGATATGGCAAATTTTAAACTAACTGAATTGGCCATATTATTAAAAAGCTGACTTGAATAGATAATGAAATTCCTGGTATTTCAAAATGCAGTCTTGAGGATCAAAATAATTCAAGATATGCAAAACTGTATGAAAGCTTGCCAATTTTAAAAATGAAAGGTAGCATTATGCAAATTTGTACCCAGTGTTCAGGACTACTAAGGGATGAGAGGGAAGAAAAACAGCACTGAGAATAAGCCTCCATCTCCTCAAGCTCTGGTGGCATAGTGGTTAAGTGCTATGGCTGCTAACCAAAAGGTCCACAGTTCGAATCCACTAGCCACTGCTTGGAAACTCTATAGGCTAGTTCTAATCTGTCATATAGGTTCGCTATGAGTCAGAATTGATTCGATGGCAATGGGTTTGGGTTTTTGTTTTCTCCTCAAGCCATACAGGCCCAATAACTGGAATCTACCACATAGGGCTGAACAGGATTGCTGTGAGGATTAAATCAGATAATGCGAGTAAAGCACTTAGAACTTAGTAATAATTACATAAACATTTATATTTATCGATTTTGTTTTTATCATGAGAGATACTCTCAAATTAGTCACTAAACAAAATTGAGGAACATGATGGTCAAACTAAATCCAGAGTTGATCCAAAATTTCTCAGTCACACACTTTTATCTTCTCCCAAGTATGAAAACAATGGCAATATTTCATTTTCTCACTGCCCCTTTACAAATAGTGGAAAAGTACATAAATAAATAGTATAAGGCCCAGAAAGGAATAAGGAAAGAGAATGTGAAAGCCAAAAAATATATATTCATTTTTGAAAACTTCAGGAATTGAAACGCCTCAAATCAAACGAAAACAAAATTTTTTCATTTTTGTCAAATGCTGTCTTTTTGTTTTTTTCTCTTCTACGTATAATTTTAACTTGTTCTGGTCATTTCTGCTTTTAAAAGTGGGAAAATAAAGAAATAAACCATCAAAGATTTGAAACGGAAGCCGCCACAATGTAGCAAATAGTGTTTTCTTTTTCCAAGCATAATTATGAAGGCATTTAGTATCAGTATATAACATATTAAAGAAATCATTTAAATAAAATTTAAACAGAAGTTTAAAAGTCCCTTTTAGTGAGTCCAATTTCCCGGTGTCATACTCCAAATCTCTTTAAAGAATGTAAGGATGTACAAAGCTTGAAATTAAAAAAAAAAAGAAAATGATGACATAGATGGAAATTAAACATGCTCTACAACGATTCATGTGCATAATCTACTGTACTTATAAGCATTTCCTCTTTAAAATCTGTGTTTGTAAAGGCACGAAAATAATCACTTTCTCAAAATGATTTCAAGGCATAAACGAGATTTCCTACCCCAAAAATGACTCCCCAGGCAAAAAAGCCTAAGTCTGTGTGCCATCTGTTTTATATCAGTACAATCCTGGCTTTGAATGCTCTGTGAGGAAATTTCAAAGAAAAGACAGAGGCCAAGTGCCAATGCCCTTCAGGCTGGATACAGAGCTGCTCGTATAGAACAGGGTGTTCTAAAACGTCTAGGTTCTACTGTCTAGAAAAATTTCCAAAAAAATTTCTGGAGAGACTCGTGTTGATTGTCAAATTGTCATCTTGCCAAGAAAAGATACTCACAAAACTAAGATATACCATCATCAATCATTTTATGAAGCAAAAGATGTTTTAATACCCTTAAGAACAGGAAAGCCATAATTTCAGAATAGACAGTTTTGTAAATTAAATAAATTTATCTTTAACTTTCTGTAGCGTTCTTACCTTTCCTATGTTGATGAGACCATAAAGTGTTCATCACAGACCAGTACCACTACCTGTGGTCCAACATTCCGCCATCACTAATCGGGGGGAGGGAGGAGTGCAAAATGTGCCATAAATGTCTAAAGTTATGGCACATATCATTATTGAATATGGGTAAAACAAGGGAAAATGGCAATAAATGCCTCCTTTACATAAGAGAGGAGCCCTGGTGGTGCAGTGGTTAAGAGCTCAGCTGCTAATCAAAAGTTCTAATCTACTAGCCACTCCTTGAAAACCCTATGGGGCAGTTCTACTCTGTCCTGCAGAGTCACTATGAGTCAGAATTGACTCGACAGTGATGGGTTTTTTGGTTTTTACGTAAGATAATCTGTTCTAATGTAGAGCTTAGAATGTTAAGTATACTATTATATTATCAATGTCTAAACATCTTCATTCTCCCAGGTAAGCACAGTAATTGAAACGACTGAATCAATAAAGCTGAACCTAATCATCATTTTTATATTGCTCATCTGTTAGAACAAATGCCCAAATATGTACTGAAAAACATCCTCCAAAATAGTTAAGAATATGCATCAGTTGTCTTTTGCAGAGTTCAAGGTGCTTCATATTTATATCTTATGGACACGGATACTCACAGCATTCTTCAAATATATGTATAGAATAGACATTAGCTGTGCGTTATGAAAAGTGAAATGAATGGACAGAAAAGCAAGGATTAGAAAACTTATGTCCAATTATTCGTTCGTAATATGTTCTCATTGGCTGAATTAACAGAATAAATATACCTTGAAACTTATTTTTAAATTAAATTAATTTTAACTAAATTGGAATTTTTGTTAATTAAGGAAATATTATCAAAATTTCACAAAATGACATTCAACAACTGGACAAATTTTACTTCTGTAGGAATTTTTTAAAAATGAAATGTTAAAACTACCACCACCTACCTCCAGGATGCAATATGGGAGCAATGCTCAAAGAAAGAGTTAAAGTAAGAGTATATAAATATGACAAATACAAAATTAGCACATATGACCAAAACACCCCAACATGGAATGTGTGTATACTTACCGGCCAGAGGATTTTCAAGATTGTAATTTTTCATTCTCTACCCTCTGCTACCTCTATTTGGATCATCCTATCCCTTACTTGCATCTTGACTATAGGCCCCCACATTAGATTGTTGTTGTTGTTTGGTGCTGCTGAGTCGGTTCTGACTCAGCGTGATCCTATGTACAAGAGAACAAAACACTGCTCGGTCCTGCTCCATCCTCACAATCATTGCTGTTTGAGCCCATTGTTGCAGCCACTGTGTCAATCCATCTCATTGAGGGTCTTCCTCTTTTTCACTGACCCTCTACTTGACCAAGCACAGTGTCCTTCTCCAGGGACTGGTCCTGCCTGATAGCATGTCCAAAGTACACGTGACCAAGTCTCACCATCCTCACCTCCAAGGAGCACTCTGTACTTCTTCCACGACAGACTTGGTTGTTTTTCCAACAGTCCATGGTATATTCAATATTCTTCGCTAACGTCATAATTCAAAGGTATTAATTCTTCTTCACACTTCCTTATTCACTGTCTGGCGTTCACATGTATATGAGGCGACTGAAAATATCATGGCTTCGTCAGGCGCACCTTAGTCCTCAAAGTGACATCTTTGCTTTTGAACACTTTAAAGAGGTCTTTTGAGCAGATCTGACCATTGTAATACATCATTTGATTTCCTGACTGTTGCTTCCATGGGTATTAATTATAGTTCCCAGTAAAATAAATCCTTGACAACTTCAGTATTTTCTCCATTTACCATGATATTGCTTACTAGTTCAGTTGTGAGGATTTCTGTTTTCTTTATGTTGAGGTACAATCCATACTGAAGGTTGCAGTCTTCGATCTTCATCAGTAAGTGCTTTAAGTCCTCTTCACTTTCAGCAAGCAAGGTTGTGTCATTTGCATACCGAAGGTTGTTAATGAGTCCTCCTCCAATCCTGATACTGCGTTCCTCTTCATATAGTCATTTAGATAGAGGTAATAAAATCTTGAGCATTTTAATTTTGTTACCGATTAGGACTCAAATTTTAAAAATTCCTGTTTTGAAATCTTGGCTAAAATACATCTTTGGTGGTACTAACAGGCTTTTAAATTTTGAATGTCCAAGAAAGGTGTGGTATAGTGGTTAAGAGCACAAGCTTTGAGTCTGACTGTATGTGAACCCTGGTTCCACAACTTATTAACTGTGTAGACTTGGAATTACTGCTTAATCTCTCTGTACCACAGATTCTTTATCTCTAAAATGGAGATAATAATAGTACCTTCCTAATACAGCTGGAAGATTAAATGGAATAACATATTTAAGGCACTTAGAACACAGCGTGATGAATGTGGTCATTAATGTTAGCTATGATTACTATTAGTATTATTATTGCTATGGCTACTACTTATTCCCAGAGTACTTGAAGAATTCACTGCATCTAGGTTAAGATTATCAACAGCGTTGAATATGGTTTAAGTATCATATCTATCAATTCTGACACAGAATTTCAAGAGATGAGAAATGTTCAGAGTTTACAGAAATTAGATTAAAAAAGAGTAACTACAAGAAAGTATCCTTCACAATAAATAACATCAGTTTTCCCCACCAAAAATGAAAAATTAAGGTTGTCTCCAGTAAGCCTACAAGGTAACTTTCTCTGAAAGCCAAACTCACCCCTTGTTCATCCAGTTTCATGAGCTGCTCTGTGACTTTGGGGGTGTTAAAGGCCAACCGCAGGCACTGGACATTGAGCTCAGGAATCACGTGCTCCAGCACTTCTTTCAGGGGAAGCCCTCTGGCTGTCGAGTGTTTTGCCGTTGAGGGGATAGCATCCTCCAGGACTGACCCTCTCAGTGTCATGAGCTGAAAGACAGACAACAGCTGAGTGTGAGGGACGAGAATGGTGTCACATGCATTGAAGGCCTAGACTAGGGTGACTTTGGTTAAGCCAGTGAGGAAGAAAGAATGAGAAAATAATATGATACTTTCTATCTGGAAAATGAGGCCAATATTTCCAGAAGACCCAGGAAACTCCAGAAGAACTCATAATCAGGCTTTCTGAGGACATTTACTGAGATACTAAATATAGTATTTCCTTATAGAGATCAGTAAGATCAAGGTCTCTACATGGCTATAATATGCCACTAAGCAGACAAACCAGAACACTAAGGAGATACCCCAGAGAAACAGCTGAAGAATAAGTGCTTAGAATTTGGATCTCATATGTTTGTGAATTACAAAAGGTAAGGATAGTTTTGAATTTCATAGCGTACACCTGACAAGCATAAACTCTCATATCCCCAAATGCTGCTTCATTAGGGCAATGGTTTTAGTTAGCACAGCAGCACAGACAACAGCATTTGAATTCATTTAAAATTTTTCCTTATTTCTTAAAATGCCTTTCATTTTTTTAATGAAATACAAACTTAAGCAAAGAAATCTCCCTATGTAATGGTGATCTGTTTGAGAAAAGTGAACCAGACTAAAACCTAAAGTAGTCCTAATTTCCAACAATTTTTACATACTAAAGTGATTAATATAACTTAAACACTACATAGTGACCTAAGAGGAAAAAAAATCTATTAAATTGAATGAACTTCCATTAAGTATGTAGGTTCTAAGTTATTGTACTACCAGGATCTACAAAAGATAATAGAGGCATACATGTTGGGGGATGTTTATGGAATGTACGATGATGAGAGGTGAGACATATATTCACAACTGCAATCCACGAAGGGTATATTTACTAAGAAAAGTATAAACAAGTCCAGGTCCTAAGACAGTCTAAAGGCAGAAAACAGATCACACTGGCTCAGAGTTTAAGCCCTCATGGAAGGGGTGGCATTAGAAAGGGCTATGAAATACAGGAAGAATTCTACAAAAAGAAAAAGGCAGAGAGAACAACATAGTACAGGTGTGGAGCTAGGAAAGAAGAGAGCATGAGGGGGAAGCAGTTATTACTACAGTCTAGTCAGATGTAAGGACAGTCCCTGGGTGGTGCTTACGCGTAACGCATTACGCATTTGGTGCTAACTGAAAGGTTGGAGGTTCGAGTCCATCCAGAGGCACATCAAGAAAGGCCTCGTGATCTACTTTCAAGAATCAGCCATTGAAAACTCTATGGAGTACAGCTCTACTCTGACACACACGGGGTCATCATGAGTTGGAATGGACTCAGATGCAACTTGTTTTTTAAGGATAGCACAAGGGAAGAATGGATGCTAAAGCCCCAAGGTGATGGAGAGTCCCCAAGCAGAAGACTCTGAAGGCAGACTGTGGGGTGTACACCTCATCTGGCTACAACAGGTAATCTCAGAACTTTTTTGAGTGGGAATAATGACGTATATGTTCAAAAAAAACTAAGCTGGCAAACAAGATGAACTGCAAGAGAAAGAAAGTAGAGGCAGAGAAGATAGTCAGAAGGAGGCTGCAGCAGTCTTCAGGTAACAGAAAAAGGGCATGATATAGGATTAACAGGAAAACTGGAAACCAAAGGAAAAAAAGAATCACCAGGAAAGAAAAACGCATCACACTTGGCAACTGATGGAGAAGAGAGAAGAATAGGAAAACCATCAACTCTCATCAACAGCTTACTTTCAATACAAGAAAAATGTACCTGAGCTCTTTGCAGTCTATCCATTTGATTAGTATCTTTTCTTTCATTTGTAAATGATTTCTTTTCAAATAATAGTTCCCCAAAAAACATCATTTTCCTATTACTTAATATCGAATTCAGACGGATAAACATACACACACACAAACACATACAGTTTTTTTCTTTTCTTTAAATCATGGATAACAGCTGAATAACTCAGTTATTACGTGCTTCTTTTCATGCAGTAGTACATGCCTTGGGATGGGGGACCACAAAGCCTGGGAGTACTCTCAATTTAGAAACCAAGACCAGGAATGCTAATCCTTGCATCATGCACCATAGAAAGGCAGCAGCTAACTTCACAAAAGTCAAAGCAGATGAGAAAAAGAATGACTCATTTTTAACACCCAAATCACTAATATTACTGACATTTTGGTTAATAACTTTCAGAAACAAGAAGAGAGTCCTCATAAGACCCTGTGCTCCTATGTCATAAAATTCTGTTCATAAACAGACATCCCTACAAGTACATGTAAGATCTTTTTAGTTTGTTTATGTTTTATAACTGCTTCTATTGAAATGAGATTCATTTGCATTTCTGTTTTCTTGATGGCATTCACTGTAGCAACTGGGGCATCACTGTGGTGACCATGTTTTCTTTTCTCTTGATGGATTTATTAACAAGAGAACTTAGTAACATGAGAAGGCACTACAACGGCATAAACATTAAATCCTATTTCATTACACATTCAGTGGACTAGTGTCAATGTAACAGTGAAGTTGAAGTGCCTGCCCCACAAAGTCCAGGAGCTATGAACAGCAACCAACATCCAGAAACATTTTTATCAAAGAACTTTTTCAAGCTTATGTCTATGAAAAACCTGATAAAGGTATTACGATTAAACCACATCTAATGGATTACTTTTATTGGAAAGAAGAAAATTACACAAAAGCTAGCAGCAATTAATTGGTGTTGAATAAACACTGATGGAAGGAAGAAGGAAAAAGGAAAAGGGGGAAGGGAGGCAGGCAGGAGAGAGAGAAGGAGAGAGGAAAGGAGGGAAGAAGGGAGGGGGAAGGGATAGGAGGAGAGAGGGAAGGTGTTATTCTAGGCATTGGGCATATGGTAATGAACAACACAGACAAAAGTCCGCACTCTTATGGGGCTTACATTCTAGTGGGGGAGACTAATAATAAACAAAATAAATAAGTACAATATGTGACTGTGTTAAATGTTAATGGAAAAAATATAAAGCATGGAATTAGATATGAAATGTCAATGGGAGGGACTAGAAATTTTAGATGCAGTAGCCACAGTGGGTCCCATTGATTTGTGAGTGAAGGCCAGGAGAAAGTGTGAGAGGAGTCAAAGGATGGCCAGGGAAGAACATTCCATTAGGAAGGCAGAGGGAGTCTGAAGGCTGGGAAAGGGAAGGAGGCCAGTGGCTCGAACTGAGTGGGGGGCAGAGGGGAGTTGCATCAGTTGGACAAGGCTACAGCAGGGACACTGGCTTTCATCAGAGGGAGATGGGAAACCATTAGAATGACAAGATCTGGCTTACATTTCAAAACGATGCCTGCTGGGGTAAAAGGATACAGGGCTTTAGGGAAGAAGCAGGAGACCAGTTTCTGGAAAAAGGTGGTGGCTTAGACTAGGCTGAGGCAGTGGGGGTGGGAGAAGTAGTTGAATTCTGGACATATTTTGAAGATAAAGCCAACAAGCTTTGCTGACAGACCATATCTGAAGGGTGGTGGTGGGGGAGGGTGGGAGTCAAGTGTGACTTCAACATTTCTGGCCTGAAGAACTGGAATAATAGAGCTGCCATTAACAGAACGTTAATTTGAACATAAAAACAAGTAAAACAAATAACATTTGACTTGGATGTTTCAGTCAAAGGCTAAGGAAACAGACCCAAGAGATATAACTCAGTGGAATGGGCAACAGGAAAAGGACTGAAATGCCTGACCAGAGAACTGGAGGGAGTTGCCAACAGAACTAAGGTGGGAAAAGAGAGGAACCAGCGTGATTCATCAACCACAGCACAGAGCTGAAGTTAATTTAGGACAGGAGTTAACACTGGAGAGACAGGCTGTGGTCAGACAAGGAATGCCTGCAAGACAAGCTGAGAAGGGACAGCTCATGAAAACCAGTAACAGGATCTGAGAAAGAAAATATCGATATAGAAAATTTCAACCTTGACGTCAGGGATAGGATAGATAGTATAGCGGCAAAAGAAGATGAATTTAAGTGGATAAAAAATAGCATAGGAAAGGAAGGATATGATGGAGGCTTAAATCAGAGTGGCCTTGGGTGGGGAGATAAAAACAGGGAAGTCAAAAACACTTGGGAATGAGTGAAGCTCATAGAAATCTGGGGGGCCCGCGGAAGCTAGAAGCGAACAATTAGCTATAGCCACCTTCAAAAGCACAGTATGTTCTCTGTGCTTTTCACATTCACATTTAACGAAAGAACTTGCATTGCTCAAAGATTAGCTTTGGCATGAACAAAAGTACACTAGAGCATGTTAGCTCTTCCTTTCTCTCTGGTCACTATAAACAATATATTAGATATTGAAGTCTTGCCTTTAAAAATCCTATATTTAATTTCCCTAGAGTTCAAGCTTAGGAACAATTACTAAGAGAAGTCAACCACTGAAACTTGCCTTGCATTCAGTGGGGGAAATGAAGCCAAATGCCTATTTATACTAGTTTCAAAGCCATTCTTTTTTAGATTCCTCAAGAGGGCATTAGGGATTACTGGATAACAACAATCCTAAGGTGAATTAGGAGCTGAGAGGCAACAAATTGATAACTGGCACAACTATACATAGGTTTAGAAGGAGCGAAAATAACCACCTCCAAGTTCCAAATGCTGAGTTTAAAAAAAAGGCTTTGTTGGCTGTTTCCTTTTATTTTTCCTTTCCTTTCCTTTTTTTTTTTTTTTACACTTCATTTTAAATTAAAAACTCACATGTTACGTGTTACATAGATTCCTAAAAGAGCTTCAAGAGCCTGCTTTACCACCATTAGGTAGCCTCTGGTTCAGAAAGTCTGGGTTCTAGAACTCAGTAAATAGGTCCAAGATACAGGAAAGTGAAAGAGAAAAAAAGAGAGTCACTTTGCTTCTTCTTGGGTCAAGAAACATCCTAAGCAACAGCTTGGAATGGGAGAGTTAAGTCTTGGGTGGCCCTCTCTTATCCTTCAGAACGCTGTTCCTCAAGCTGGCTGAGGCTTTCTGCCTGTCCCAGTAGGACAGGCAATATCTCACTTGGGATTCTGATAGCTCTAATTTCCTTGGGCCACTCTTAGTGGACCTATCTATCTCTGAATCAAAACACTCATTCATTCACTGCATCTATGCAGAGCTAAATGGAAAGAAAGAGTCCAGATCTAACCATCATGGCCACCCCCACCCCTACCAAAGTAAGAGTGAAAGGAGCTCTTTGTTTATTCTGAAGACATCTGTAACCATGTGCTATTAAATGTAATTGCTTTGCTCTACACCTCCCCTCCCCCCACAACTTCAATTCAGCCTCAAATCTCTCATTTGCAACTTACCTCACTAGTTCTAAAAATTATCCGGTAGTTGTATGGAGATCCATTTTCCTTCATTTCTTCTGGTTTTTCCCTTCGAATGCTCACAGCCACCGGACCAAGATTTTCATCTGCCCCAAAATAGTTCCAGTGTTCTTAGGTTAAAAAAAAAAAAAAAAAAAATTAAAAATTTGCATAATGCATTGAAAATGTTATATTCTGCTCAATACGTAAGACTGCCACTCAAAAACTGGATTAATAAATGTAAGCACATTTAACAAATATTAAAATTCTTCAGTGAGTCAAAACAAAGACTTTAGCTTACACAGGCTTAGTTTTAGAGGAGGTAACACACTGAACAGAGGTAGTCTGCTGAACTCTTTACTACTCTATGATTTTTACTCTACTTCTTTAAAAAGAAAATTGTGTTTTCTCCCAAAAATTCCCCTATTTAAATAGGTTACATTGAGTGTCCTTCCTTGCCTAAGGGAAGATTTGTGTCAGGGCTTCTTAGCTTTTGTTCTTAAAAACAAAATAAAAACAACTAAATCTAATTGAGAATAGGAGTGATTTCCCCAGATTAAGAGCAAGAGGCCTGTGAGTCCCTGAGCAGCACTCTGCTCCCCAGGTAGCCCATGCAAGACAAGGAGGCATCCAGAGAAAAAGAGTTTCCAAGTGCCCCAAGGGGGTGGGAGTCCATGTCCAAGGCTCCAAACTTACCAATGGTTCCCTTGTCACAAGCAAGACAGGCAACCAACAAAGCCAGTGAACCTGGAGGGAATGTGTAAGCTGAGACAATGGACTTCTCTCCTTGGTGACCAGTATGACCAGGTGACTGATGACTCAGGGACCTCTCCTCCTTGCTCTGGCACTGTCTGAGGCCCCAAATCTTAGCATACCCTCAGGGTGCGGGGAAAGCCTCCTCCAGATGACTAGCATTGAATTTACCCTCCTCCTGACCAGAAGGAGGGTCAGGATGAAACGTAAGTTACAGAAAATAAAAAAAGTGATATTTACTGTGCTTCTTAAAAATACATACTTCTTTAAAAAAAATTAAAATTGTTGATATGTACATAAGACATTCACAGATAAAGAAGTCCATAAAACATAGAAATATATGAAAAACTAGAGCAAATAACTTAGTTTTTCAGACCTCCAAAATACTGACTTTACATTGTTCTATTTCATTCACATGTGACATGGCTACATGACCGGTTGTGACACGGTACATTATTTTCATACAAAATGCGTAAGTATTTGAAATTACATGTTATTTCCATACAAAAAATATGTAAGTGTTTGAAAATCCATGAGAATAATAATAAATAATACTATAAAATATTTAATCATGTACTTTTAAAATTTAGGTAATGTGTATGAAAAACTCTTTGCAAGCACTGAAGAACGATTATAAAAGACATAATCATAAATACTGAGAGAGCTCTCTAATAGTATTATCTCGATCCATGGAAATTCAAAATAAGAAAAACACAATGGGGTTACAGTCAACAAACATTTTATATGTGGACAACTGAGAAAAAACCCAATAAATGTCACAAAATCCATGTACAAACACTCATGTACACCCTCAAAGCACAGCACATGAGAATCACACTCAGAGGTTTAGTCTTACTTTGCACACAATTCTAATAAGCTTGGTTGTCTGGTCTTCAAGCCCACAGCTTTATTTCAGAGGTGTATAAATCCAGATGTTGACAAAGTCCAGGGTGTAGGGCTGATACAGACTTGCATGCAGACAGCAATGTGATAGAACAACTGACAACGAGGAAGAAAACAGAAAGGGAGGAGACAGAAATAGTATAAAAAAGCGGACAAGAACTTAAAGAAAAACAAAACAGCAGTCTGGAGCCACTTACTGAACTGAAGGAGCAAAGAGCTTAACACACTTTGATAACTTCAGAGGATATTTTAATACTGCAGCACAGAACAATAGTGGATGTTTCAAAGATGAGTGCGAGTCACATTCATTATATCCTTTTCCTTGCACTTCTTTGGACCCAACTGAGACCTGGCTCTCTAGAAACTCCTCAAATATACCCCACATACCGCAGGTGGGATGGGGGTTTTCTGCTGCTGGAGAAATTCAGAAAGGTACAGGGCCACTATCAATTCATCATCAATAACCTCAACTTGTCCTCAAACTTTCCCTGGTCAGTGCTTTTTCCCCTTCTCCAGGCAGATATTTCAATTGTCATTCTCTACTCTCCTCAACCTCCCCCAACCCATCTTCTCCTCAATCTCAGCAAATGACAATGCTGTTTACATCATTAAATAAAAAAATAAATAAATAAAGTCATTTCAAAAGCAAATTTCCTCATTTTCTACCACCGTACATGCAAACTTACCTGCATTCAGACTCCTGCTTCCTTTTCTCTACAATCCAAAGATCTCTCCCTACATTCTGGTGTCTACTTTCCCAGGGACGCTAATGCCTTGATAAGCCTCTCTTTTTATCTTGCTCACTCTCATACCAGTTAATCTGGCTCAAGTCTCCTTCATCTTTAAATATAAAACTTACCCTCAACCCCTTATCATCCTTCAAGTTATCTCCTCTTTCTTTTCATCCACTGGAAACTTCTTGAAAGAGCTGCCTAGTTCTTCATTTTAGAATTACTATAATCTGAGTGCCCTTGCATCATTGACTTCCTTAGTTAAAACAAATGGTCATTTTTGGACCTTACCTTGCTTAAACTTTCCATACACCAGGCACAGTTGATCACTTCATTTTTTCTAGAAACTCTCTTACTTCCTGGCTTCTATGACACCACCCTCTCCAGATTTTCCTTCAAAAACTCTGGCTGTCAAGGAAAGGTCATGGAAGCTCCATAGGCACATCCAAACTCCCTGAGGGACTAAATTGCTGGGTGGAGGGCTGCATAACACAGTTTATAAAGACAATGTTCTACATTCTACCTTGGTGAGTAGTGTCTGGGGTCTTAAAAGCCTGTGAGCGGCCATCTAAGATACTCCACTAGTCTCATGCTTTCGGGAGCAAGGGAGAATGAAGAGAACAGGATACAAGGAAAAGATTAGTCCCAAGGACTAATGGACCACAGCTACCAAGGCCTCCACCAGACTGAGTCCAGTATAGCTAGATGGTGCCCGGATACCATCACTGACTGCTCTGACCAAGATCACAACAGAGGGTTCTGGACAGAGCTGGAGAAGGATGTAGAACAAAATTCTAACTCACAAAAAAGACTAGATTTACTGGCCTAAAGGAGACTGGAGAAACTCCAAGAGTTGGGCCCCAGACACCCTTTTAGCTCAGTGGTGAAGTCATCTCCGAGGTTCACCGTTCAGCCGGGGAGTGGACAGCCCCATAAAACCAAACGGGACTAATGAGGTACAGCAGTCCAGGGACAAGGGCCAGAAGGCAGAAGGGGACAAAGGAAGCTGGTGATACGGAACCCAAGGTTGAGTAAGGATAGTGTTGATATGTTGTGAGGTTGTTAACCATTGTCATAGGGCAACATGTGTACTAACTGTTAAATGAGAAACTATTTTGTTCTATAACCCTTCATCTTAAGTGAGAATAGCAGCACAATTGGAAGAGCGTAGTCGATGTCACTGAATTGTGCATGTAGAAATTTTTGAAATGGTGTATCTTTGGCTATGTGTATTTTCACCAAAAAAAAAAAAAGGGTCAAGAAGGGAGAGGGTTGACATGTTGTGGGGTTGTTAACCAATGTCATAAAACAATATGTGTACTACTGTTTCATGAGAAACTATTTGTTCTGTAAGCCTTCACCTGAAGTACAATAAAAAAAAAAGTAAAAAAAAAAAAAAACTCTGGCTGTTCCTGCTCAGTTTCCCTTACTCTTCCCATTTTAAATATTTCATCCAGTCTCAGAACTTCAATGGCCACCTTAATGTTGATAACACTCAAAAATTTATATCCCCATTCCAGACTTCTCTCTAAGCCCTAGATGTTTATGTATACCTAATGGAACTCTGTTTGTTCCTCTGGCATCTGTGAAAGTGAACCCATCACCTTCCCACATAAACCTATATAGCTCTCTCTGCAGTCACTATTTCAATGAATGGTACCACCATTCACCCAGCTGCTCACACCAGATCCACTGTCATGCTGAGTGAATTCAGGTTCCTAAATGTTTCTCAGATCTGTGTACTCTTTCTCCATTCCACTGTCTCTGACCAACTCTGGTCATTTCTGCCCTGAATGCACTAGTCTTCTAACTGGTTTGCTCTTTTCAAATTTGCTTACACAGCAGCCAGATGATCCTTCTAAAATGCAAAACTGACCATCTACTATTAAGCTTAAAATCCTTCTCTGGTTTCCCAAGGGTCCTTGGATACTTTTTTTTATGGCTTCCCAAAGGCACTCACAACCTGTCACCAGAATATCACTCCAGTCTCAACTCAGACCTTCTAAACTCTGAGAACAAACTATGCTGAACTTTTCAGTTGCTCAAACTCATTGTGTCCTTTCTCACCTGGAGAACTCTGCCTACAACATTCTTTCCACAACTTCTCTTTATTTGACTAAATCCTCTCATACCTCACGTCTCATCTGAAACGTCATTTAGATAGTCTCTAAAAGACTGACTGTATACTGGAGCAAAATAGTGTTTACTTTGCATATTAGTACTAACATTTCATTAAAAAGTGTAAGAATCCATAAAATAACACAAATAAATAAAACCAAATATTTAGTATATTTCAAATACAAAATTTAGAAAGCATTATAAAACAAAAACAAACTTTTAAAATATAAACATTAAGCAATCATTTAGTATAAATTTTAGTAAAAATTTTAAATATAAGAACAAAGTATTATTAAAAAAATAAACTAAACCCTACATAAAAATGAAGAACATTTAGTTAATAATAAAAACTTAAAAATTAAACATCACTTAAACAAAAAAATTTTTGGAGGGTATCATTGTCAAAATCTGCGTATGTTTTTTGTGCACTTTTTCCCAGCTGCTGAAGCATATTTCTGTGAGTTGGGGGAATGGTGATGAGATAATTATAAACTAACTTCAAACACTTTCTTCAAACTTTATCTTCAAAGAAACCCATCTCTGGCTTGATAACTCTGGGAAGATCTTTTTGAACTTATGGGTGTGTTTGTGCAGAAGCAGCGATCTTTTTTTTAATTGAAAGAAGA